GCGCGATGGCTGCCATGTCAAAGAATGCAAAGTAGATGGAAGCTTTCTAACACAAAGAACTTTGAGCAGTTTCAAGCTTGCAGTATATCAGTCCATTGACTTGCAAATATCCAGATCAAGTAACAGCCAAACTGCATACATTCAGCCAATGTGGCTTGACATGGTAGTATGGCATGAGATGAATGCACATGTTCTTCACAAGACTTAAAAGTGGTTACAAGAATTGCTACAGCCTATGCAAGACAGCATGGCTCTAGCAAATGCATGCAGCTTAAACATGAACTTTTTCACGTGCCAACAAAATGATTGTTGCATTTCATGTAGCCAATGTGGCTTGACAGTGGGACATGGCATGGAATGCATGCATTTCATGTAGCCAATGTGGCTTGACAGTAGGACATGGCATGGGGTGCATGCACATGGTTCTCATGAAGTCAAAAATGGCTTTATGTATGTGTTGTGGTGCGTGCATGGCAAGACAACATGCTGGCCTGTAAGCGCGCCAAAGTTCTAGATTGGTATAACTACATGAAAAATAATATGTATGCACTCATGACAGCCAATCAGCTTGAACATGACACAAAAAGTTCAACACCACACCATCATGGACCTGCAGCCCACTATAACAAAGCCCATAACAAAGCCCATCCTTGTTAATCAAAAGAAACATAAACCCTCACAAAAACAAAAAACATTATGAAATAAAAAACATCCACATCATCAATCCCTGTCATCACTTGCTGCATACAAATATTTGTGTTTTTATTTCTATGTTGGTTGCATTAGCACTCATTTATGTTTTGAAAAAACATAAAAATATGTGTACATATGTATTTAGATAACTACTCATAACCAGTTATAACCAAATCAGACTAACTACTTATAACTATGCTAAATGTTTATAAAACTATACATAAATGATGTGAAGTTGTTGTAAAGTTTCTAGGACTTATGATTTTAAGTTGCTAAGTGTTATGGAAGTTATACTATAGTATACCATGTTATACCATACTTGTACCATATATATAAATATGTTATAAATGCACTTATACAGCCTACTAACCTTTATAAGCCCACGGTTCTTCCCAGTACAGTATATTATTTTTCGTGTAAACATATCTAGCAACGACGAATCGAAACCACACAGAGCCGCAGTATGGGCAGAAGCTTTTTGAGCAGGGGCAGCCCGTCAGGGCGGGTGCGAAGCTTTGCGTTTCCGCGGCCGCAAAGATGCTGGGGGTTCCAACGGCGGCGGCGGAGCCGCTCGCGCCAGAGCTGCGAGCAGAGGCTTGCAGACCAAGTCCTGCGTGTGGTAGCCCGATAATTCCGCAAAGTAGCCTCCAACGACCGGATGGTCCGGGTTTCGACCGCTGCAAGACGCGCATATTCGGCCGCCAGCGCTGCAGGAGGGCCCCCATCAAGAAACTCTCTGGTCGGAGGCCGGAGAAGAAGCAAGTGGTCAAAAGTACGAAGCCGGCTGAGCAAAACGTAGATACTGACAGCCAATACTCATCCTGATGCAAAAATCAAAAACAAGAAGCAAACGATACAGTATAAGCGACGCGCGTCTGCGACTGAGGGCCGGACTCGGCCCATGCCAGGCGGACGAGCAAAGTCGGCGATCATAGCCTCGAGCGTCTGACCTTGCAGAGAATACACAGTGGCCGCCAAGGCGTTGGTGCAGGGAAATTGCCGTCGCGTGACAGTCAACGGCGCGCTGGCTAAGGCCTCACCAATATCAGCCGGAAACTGCGCCAGAGCTGCGGGTGTGCAACGGTGTGCAAAATCCCATGTGACAGGCTCGAGGAGGCAATCGCCGACGGAAAGCAGAGCACTCTGCTGAAAATGTCTGTCTGGGATGTGAATGATCAATCCACGGGGCAAGAAAGCAAGGACATGTGGCAGCAGCTCTGCGTTGTTGTCGAACTCTGGCTCGTCTTCGCGCAAGAGTGCAGTACGCAAAATGCCTGGGCACCCGCGGATAAGACCGTGTTCTTCGGAGATTTTGCTCTCCAGTGTCAGGTGACATCCTCGCCAAAGAAAGAGCACCCCAGGCAAATTTTTGGTCTCAGTCAAGTTGGGCAAGGTGCAAAGGTATTGGAGGAGCTGCGGGTACGTCAGAATAGAACTTCGACTCGTGCGACAAGCATCTACAGCGATGCAGACCAGCAAGCGCTGACCAGCCAGCCGCGCAAGGTGTTGAGAACGTTGCAAGCCAGCAATAGCGCGCGCGATGGCGGAGGACGCCAACGCGAGCGTCGCTCGACCAGAAGCCGGGCTGCTGTGCGGGGGTCCTGAGGTGGGAGACGCCGCTGGAGGAGATTGCCCCATGCAGCGTCAGAAATCAGACCTGCACGCATCTCCGTCAAGAACTGCTGGAGAGGACCATGTGCTCGATGAGGCTTGTCCAAAATGATGCAGGAATCAATGGCTTGCCACAGCGCCTGGCCACGCACTGCCGCAAGATCCTTCTGCCGCGCTGGCTCGCCTCGCTCGGCTGCATCGGGCACCAAGTCGACAACGAGCGGGGCAGCCAGGCTTGCGGCAGCGACGGGCGGCAGTTGCATGTAGTCGCCGCTGCACAGAAGTGTCAATCCTCCCCAAGGAATATGAGAAGCGTTTTTGACCTGGCCAGAGCGGAATTCCGCGTCAGCAAACAAATCTGCAGGGATCATGGAGACTTCATCGAGTGCTAGGACTTGCGCATGCTTCCATGTGGCGAGCAAAGCTTCTTTCTCCTTGCCCAAAGCTCGTGCGCTCGCAGTCCAGCCGTCCCGGGGCAAGTGGAACGCGGAGTGCAAGGTGCGCCCATGGACCAAGCGAGAGGCGGAGTTCATGAAGGCACACTGCTGCGTACTTGCAGGATTAAAATGATTCTGCAAGGATAAAGCCATGTGCGTTTTTCCGGTGCTGGGGCCGCCAAGCAAGATCAAATCGTGGCGTGGTGGTGGCACCGCGCGGCTCAACATGGGTTCCTGCGACGCAGTGAGACGCGAGCGAAACAAAGACGAAAACGCAAAGCACTATTGCGCGCGAGCAACTGAGGATGCGACCTGCAAGTTCAAAGCAAAGAGAAGCAGAAAAGCTGCTTGCTTCAAATCCAGAGCCCCAGTGAGGTCTCGACAGCAACCATCGCGCAACCAATCCTCGACGAGGGACAGCGCTGGCAACGAAGAGGACCCAGGACGTGGGAAAGAAGCAGGCACGTTGGCAGGCGCTGGCAAGTGTACTTGCATCTGTGCCTGTCGCCACGCGCGGACTTGTTGTCGGAGAAGAGCAAACTGCCAGGACAAGCTGTCTGAAGAAAAAGCATGCTGTGTAGGTGCAGGGACGCCGCCAGGGTACAAAAGCGACGCAAGCGCGGCAAACTCTGCAGAATACTGCGCAGTAGGCTTATGCGAAGTAAAAGGACCCTGCGTGAGAAGAGACGCTGTACCAACACATCATGCTTTGAAAAACACCCCGAGAAAAAGCCACAGTCTAGCCAAAACGCAAATCCAACAACGGTAGCCGAAGCCAGCAGCTACCTTGAGTTTGTTGGTACATAATGAAATATAGTATAAAGCTGTATAGTATATAACCAGGTGCCTTCCTTGCTCTTTCCTCGCAAGGTATCGCGACCCTCCTGTCATGCAGATCCTTCCACCAATGTCAAATCAAAGGTAGCCATCCGTAGATGA